AAATAAAATAAATCTAATAATAATAAAAAAAAATTTAAAAAGTACCCCGCCCCCGCGAGCACGCGCGTCGCCACGTAAACACGCGTCGGGTGCGCCTACGCATGAAAACGACGAACGCGCTACACATGTTGGGTATCGCCGCGCACGCCGGAGTGAGAGCAATAATTCTAGGGCCAGTATTTTGGGGTATCTCTAAATTGATGACCTGTGGGGGCTTTTAAAGTGTCTTTTATTGACTTTTTGGGGTACTGCAGTTTTTCGCCGTTTCACGGTCGCACGCAATCTGTAAACTGGGCATGTTGGGTATCGTTTTACTCGTTGTAACCTCATCTTTTATATTTCATTAAAAAAATGGGTAATTTGTTGTGTTTTGGGGCATTTAATTAAATTTGTCACTAAATTTTGGGGTTTAATAAGGAGTTGCGCTAATATTGCGCAACATAAAAATTTTCAACTACCACCATTTTATTCTATAGGGTCTTGGCATTCAGAAAATATATAATGTTGGGGGGTTTTACGTCATTTTCAGGCCTAAAATGTGGAATATAACATGGGTGCAAAAATGGAAAAAAGGGCCTCAGTCATGAAGGGGTTAAAGCCGGGTCGGGCAAATTTCGACCCTCCAGCTGTGGTGAAACTACAAATCCCATGATCCATTTGTCTCTGGGAGTCATGCCTGTGGCATGACTTTGTAGTTCCACAACAGCTGCAGGGCCGGAGTTTGCCCATCCTTGTTTAAAATGGCCAATACCGCCAGAATAGTTTCCCACATATTTGATTGAATTCCCCCCAATGTCGCTCCTTGCCCAAATACCGTAGAAAGGGAAGCTGACATTACATAAATTGGTTATAATTTAAAACACATTTAACTTCCACTCATAGCACCCTGACTGAGAAATGCTGCAGAATATGTACTATACCGCGATAGATTTGAAAGGCCACTCCAACCCGCTGAGCTTAAAATGTCAGTCTTTTTCTGTCCCTAATATAGATGCCATTTTACAGAAGCCTCAAACTTCTTATCAGTATAGGATTTTTCTACGACAAAATGGCCCCCTCAGCCGTCAGTATTACAAGTGTACTGGAGACACAAGTAGCTGCAAATTCTCAGTTCATCTTGTCCCCAAGTGTATGGCAGACACTAGGAAAGGACACTAAGTGCATGCCTCACCAATGAGGATAGTGCAGAGGGAAGTCACTCTGTCATAGGTTTGTGGAGGGAATTTGGCGGTTCATGTGAGGAGGGGTGACGAAGAGCAGTGATCGGGGTTGTCATCTGGAGTCCAGTACTGTCAGACCTAATGGAGAACATTAAAGCCAGGTTCGTGTCCCAGAAGATCAGTAAGACGCGCTGGCGCCCGGAGCCGGCCTCCTCTCTTCAGCCTCCGGATCTGTTTGCTGTGGGCTCCTGGGATAATGAGGTGAGCCGGACTTCATCCACAAATGAGGCGGAGACCACCGATCACTCACATGTACTCTCCTTAGTCATGGGCTCAGTGCTACATGTATTCCCCCCCCCAGTCATAGGCTCAGTGTTACATGTATTCCCCCCCCCCAGTCATAGGCTCAGTGCTACATGTACCCCCCCCTAGTCATAGGCTCTGTGCTACATGTATTCGACCCCTAGTCATAGGCTCAGTGCTACATGTATTTGCCCCCTAGTCATAGGCTCAGTGCTACATGTATTTGCCCCCTAGTCATAGGCTCAGTGCTGCTTGTATTCCCCCCCCCAGTCATAGGCTCAGTGCTACATGTACCCCCCCCTAGTCATAGGCTCTGTGCTACATGTATTCGACCCCTAGTCATAGGCTCAGTGCTACATGTATTTGCCCCCTAGTCATAGGCTCAGTGCTACATGTATTTGCCCCCTAGTCATAGGCTCAGTGCTACGTGTATT